ACGAAGCGAATTTGTAGGTTGCGCGCATTCGGCCATCGTTCCTTGACCTGTCTCACCTCAACCACGCAGCGCCCATTTTCCTCCCCCGTTCGGACCGGACCACGGTTGGGGTTTTGTTTCCTTGTCTTTGTTCGAAACATTTGAACAAAGGTGCGATACGGACTTTACGTCTCTTCTGACCCTCTTTGAACGCACCAGTGTGGGAGGTGGTGGTAGCTCTTTGGTCGACCTGTGTCACGGCCAAGAAAAGCACGGAGTAACCGGATTCAAAGAAAGAAGAATGAACAGTCCCTAATTATAACATTTTGGATCCGAGACTATTGCCTGATGCTCCGTTGAGACAGCTCGTTAAGACAGGCGCATCCCCAGCTCCAGCTGACGACGGACAATTCTTTGCCGCAAAGCTTTCCCATACCACATCATACCAAAGCCATTGACTGATGGTGCAGCCGCGCACAGCAAGACGACGACACGTATACTCCAGAGTATTACTCTACCGCACACTCTAGCATGCAGCCTCGTCCGAGAGAATATGACTGAGTCGGCGGTTCTCACAACGGCCTTTGCCAGCGTCCAGCACCAGCACCAGCACCAGCACCAGACCAACACCAACGTCAACGTCAACGCCAGCAAACGAGCAACTGGCACCACGTTGAGCGTTGGCGCCAGCACATGGACGACTCAGCCTCGCAATACAGCTGTTGCGCGTGGCTCAAGCTCCCTGTACGGCCGTGGGGGCAGATGCACAGGCCCAGGCACAGGGACAAGCTCTCAAGCCACTACTGCTACTACTGCTACTACTACTACAGGCGCGTCCATGCCGTCTGTCCAGGTGCCGGCCACTGCATGTGCCCTGGAGGACGCAACGCCCACGAGTAACAACATCCACCCCACATGCAGGGCCTCTACCATGGCTGCTAGTAGTACTAGTACTACGCCCAGCAAAACCGGCTCGTCCATGCCTTGCTCTGGCCCCAATGAGCAAAATCATCCTCCCTCATCCTCCCCTCGAGCTGCTGCTACCGTCGCGGCAGGCGGCCATGATCTCGACAAGGTCCACGCCGACGACTCTCCTCCGCTGACCCGGCATTCGCACCGCCAGTACAACAACACCTCGTCCAAGCTGCCGCCTCCTCGGCCTGCAGATTTGAGGCGCGGACCCCCGGCGGCGTCATCGTTCCCCTCTCAACCGCGCCGCCTGCACCCCAACCATCCTGGCCAGGTGCCTCACTCGCATCACGGCGCCCCCTCGCCAGCGTTGCCCAATGCCGTGCCCGAACAGCCACCGGCCCCATCCATCCCCGACAACATCGCAAACACGGACGCAGCCGCAGACGCGGACGCAGGCAGAGAGGCAGAGTCAACAACACATCATCCCTCTTCACCCTTTGCTGTGTCGCCGTCGCCCAGCTCTCCACCAAGACCGGCTGTGCGCTCTCGGGCATCATCATACCACGCCTCACCCCAGCCAGCGACTTCGTCATCGTCACCTCCTGGAGACTATCCCCCCGCCCAGCCGAAGCGTCCCGCATCGTGTCCTGAATCGGGACCCGACAACGCCGATCAAACAACCTCCCCGTCGTCTCCATCTGCAACTGGAACTGGAACCACCAAGCATCCGAGTCGGAGAGGACCTGCTTCGCGCAGCTCAAACGGCGTTTCGACCTTCGACGGCCCGCCGCCATCTCTCAACACTCAACGTCTTCACGGCGTTGAGGCGGTGGCCCGAACCACTGCTCAGCCGCAGCCTCTGCCTCTGCCTGAAACACCAAGGACCGAGAGCACCCAAGGTCAACGAGAGTTGCTACTTCTTAAGCGGCTTTCTGAGTCCAGCTCATCAGATGACAACCGACATCCATCACCTCAGCGGCCTCCGGTTTCCTACAGACCAACGCACAAGCGGCATAGCATTCAGCCTGCCACTGTCACGCCTGGCCGAGTGCCGCCAATACGCTCATTCCGCTCATCAGATTCTCGGAAAAGCCTAACCCAGGATATGAATCCCACGTCTCGCCCCCACGATTTGGGCGAGCTTTATGCAACTTCTCCCGAGGACCAGTCACCGCAAAATTTCGAAGGCCGGCATGTCCAAGGAGGTGTCTCCTTGAACGACGGTGAATCTGGTCGACAAGATGATGGTGGGGATATTTTTTTGAGAATAGCTAGAGACGAGCAGATACGTCGTCTGCGGGGAGACGAGAATTTGGACGATGCTCAATCTTCAGTTGTAGGTTGCCATGAGATATTTTCGCAATGCCCGATACCCGTGCCGTGTACTAATTGGGCTCACAGTCTGGCATCAGACGGTCTTCTCATCGCCGCCCTTTGTCGACTGTTGTCCCCTCATATCACCACCAAACATCGCCCCCAAGACAAAGGCGGCGATTGTCTGACCAGCAAGACAGGCCCCGTCCAATACATCTTGAGGACGACCAAGGGAGTGAAATCTCTCGGACCACCACGTTTCGCTCGCTGGTCCGGGAGAAGGCTGCTTCTGTTCATCCCGGCGAGGAGATTCTGCGTACACGCTCTGGCGGTGCAAACCTGCGACCATCACCTCTTTCAGCGCGATCCACAGTTGGTTATGATAATAGTCAAGAAGTTAGTAGTTACGCACGCAGGCGTGCGTCAATAACCGATAGTAATTCTACTGTGGGCCGTACACCCGGGTACAGACCATCCGGGCTCATCCAAGCCCGGAATTACGGTTCATCTCCCCTTTCCAGGACGATTGACCTTCAGAACAAGACAGGAACCGAGGCCCCTCATGGGATCGAGGGAACGGAATCCACTGCTTCAACAGCTGCGCCCTCGACTGTTTGGGACGAGTTAGACGACCTCAAGTCGCGAATCAACCGACTTGAATTAACGGGAAAGCTGCCGTCTACGTCTGGGGCGGCAGTCTCTGGAATGTCTGAGGAGCGGCCAGCTACTGCTACGACGACGGTAACTACACTGTCTGGATCTCCGAAACGACAGGCCAATGGACAGATTGCAGAAGTATCGAGTACTACGTCCTCTCAAAGGGAGGCACACTCCCTCCTTCTTGATGCGCTACGGAACTCAAAGCGACATGTGAGTTGGGAAGTTTATCAGGCACTTGAATCAGTGGCTAAAGAAGCTATGGCGTTGTCATCAATGATGGGTACCCCAGGTCAGCCAGGGCCGATATCTAGTGCTGCGAGTGTGATTGGGACAGGGGGAACGGCAGTCACTGACCGACAACTACGAAGAAAAGCCGATTCCGTCTGTCGGAGTCTGACAGAATTATGTGTAGCACTTGGGGAAGGAGTAGGTCCTGCAAACATTGCAGGCCCAGCTAGTCCGCTTACGTTGGCTCAGCATGATGGACCTGCAACGCCCACTGTCCCAAGGTCGTATAGTGCTCTGCCCACTCCACGCCGACTTAGTGTGGCCGAACACGGAATACCGAAATCCATCAGCAGCCCAAGACCATTGTCGAAATTCGAAGAGCGCCGAAGCTCTATTCTGAACGGGACAGCTTTACCGACGCCGCGCGCCACTGGTTCAGCTCCGACTACGCCGATCGAGGGCAATCCCCAGCGAAGATCGTCGCTTATGATCTCGCGGACTCGGCGAGCTGGTACCGAGGAACCAGAACTTGGTCGGTCACCAACAATGCTGCGATCCCGACGAGCCGGAACCGAAGAACCAGACCAAGGCCGACAAACGTCATTGAGAAACCGTCGGGGCACAGTGGGTGATGATGGTGACGAAGGAAGATTCCGACCACCCTCCAGAGCAGACACCGACGTCAACATGCTCAGAGACCCTGGACGAGAATACCCATCAGACTCGCAATCCATAGCGCCCGACAGCACCTCGCAGATTCCTTCAGCACTTCCACGTCGCCGATTTTTGTCCACAAACCTTCATTCCTCCCGTCTTGCAGGATCCCAGGGGACCAACATTGCGTCGCCAAGAAGGTACAATGATCGACAAGCGGGAGAGCAAGACTTTGGCGACAGTGTTGGAGAATCACGAGTCCAGAGACAAGGTCCCCCCTTAAGCAAAGGAATAATGCATAGCCGAGCTAGCAGTCTCAGCACTCGGAGAAATCGAGACAGTTTGATTTCGACAAATTCTGGAGCTACAACTGCCCCTTATAGATGATGCTCATGAGAGCCACTACTTGCATTTTACGCCCGTACATGTATTCAAATGGACCTTTACATAAAGACTTTCTGGTGGCATCGTCAACAAGGGACGCTGCTACGTGCTTTTATATTTCGACTTTGACGATTGATGAAGGCGGACCGCCGTGCTTTTTTGCTTTCCCTCCTTTTCTCGCGCTCATTTTGTCTATACGACGTTTTTCGGGCTCATTTTTTTTTTCCCTTCCCCTTCTCCTCAGACTCTGTATAAATCAAACGTACATGACGCACAAAACAAATCATAAAGCAAAATAGTTACTCCGGCTTACGCTGGATATGAGGACCGCTCTGGACTGCATAACGACATGACGAAACCCATTGTCTGTCACTGAGGTGGCTAAACGGCCTTTGGTCTGCATTTTTCTACTGTATGGGTGGACGAATAGTTCTTTCATGTACGATAGTTGTTGACTGCAATAGGATTTGTTTACATTCTCATAACAAAAACTAGACTTTGCCATGCTGTGACTGATTATCGTAGAATTCCGAGTCATCGGTGCGAGGTTTGGGCGAATGAGTGCAAAACCATGCAAGTGGCGGCCGTGTGAGTCACTGTGTTTGGCTGAGTGGGACGTCGATCTCAGCCTCACCTTTCCACCTGACACTGGCATACACGGTTCTACTCTAGCAAGAATCAGGGATTCAAGCAAGCAAACTGTCAACGTCAATTGTCTCGACCTCCAAGTGTCAATGGGAAGTGCTTGTCGTTGGAAACGCCACTGCAAAGGGCCGCTTCTCGCGAGCCCCACTTTCAACCTCAACCTCCCGGTTGCCCAACTCAAGCCGGGCAAAATAGCACACTCCCTCACACACAATACAAGCAAAATGGCCAGTCACGAAGCCCACGTAGATGTCGAGGACAAAGCACAACCCCGATCATCAAGGTCCTCTGGACGCGGGGGCGGTCGCGGCGGCAGACCCGAAGGTCGGGAGGTCCAACTGTCCAAGGCGCTCTCCAAGCTGCTACGACACCAAGCTGAGAATGCGGGCATCAAGCTCGACGAAGAGGGGTTCGCGCCTCTAGACCGCGTGGCACGTCTCCCCCCCCCCTCCTGCACCACAGCGCTAGCATCGTAGCTGACCTTTGTTTCGTTAATTCAACAGCTGTCATGGGGCCCCATCAAATCCCTCTCCCCGAGCCTGCAAGAAGTCAAAGACGCCGTGGAAGCCAACGCCAAGAAACGCTTCACCCTGAGGCCCGCTGACCCTTGGGCGCCTGAACCTTCCTCTGCGGCGGGATACCTGATCCGCGCCAACCAGGGGCACTCCCTCAAGGTTGATGAGGCGGCCTTGTTCAGGCCGATCCTGCTGGGGGACGCCGACTTCCCGGGCAAAGTGGTCCACGGGACCTACTTTGCCTTCTGGAAGGCGATTCTCGAGTCGGGCGGGCTGAAGCCCATGAGCAGAGGGCACATTCACTGCTCGGACAGGACGCCCGAGGAAGGGGCTGTCAGTGGGATGAGGAGAGATGCGGAGCTGTTGGTTGAGATTGATATCGAGGCGAGTCTGAGGGACGGCGTGACCTGGTGGAGGAGCGACAATGGGGTGATTTTGACGGATGGCGGGGAGGGAGGGGTCCTGGGGACCAAGTATTTCAAGATGGTGACGAGTAGGACTGCTGATCTGGGCGTTTTGTGGGAGGACGGAGTCAAGGTTGCCGATTTGCCAGCAGGTCTGAAGTTTAGAGCACCAGGGGGGAAGAGAGGAGGTGGCGGCGGCGGCGGCGGCGGGAGACATACGAGGTCATGAGTTTGTCATTCATCAAGCAAGTCTACTACTATCTTTGAAGCGGGATATACCTCCCCGCTGCTTGGCATCTTCGTACTAAAAGAGAGATAAACAATTCTACTGCACGTTGGGGGTTGCCGGCTTGGGCGAACTCGCAGTCGACCACAGGCTCTCAAACGTATCCTGCCTTCTCTGCAGTTCGGCCTGCAGCCACTCTCGTACGCTCTCCGCCACCTTCAATTTCGCCTGGCCCTCGCCGGCGATGCCACTGACAATACCTAGATCCGGGGGGATTCGCAAGTCGTTCTTAAAGACGGGCCGTCCGCAGAATACGTCATGCCCTGCCGGGTCGGGCTCAATCTTGTACGTTGGACTGCCGAGGGCCAAGCGATTGCAGAGACTGCTTACCTCTTCGAAAACAGAAGAGTTGCTGGGCGAGCGGGTGCTGGGAACACTTGTCCACGGCGACTTGCTAGGCGTTGTCCCTGGTACAGGTGAATTGGCCGACAAGCGCTGCCGTTTGCTCAACGGCTGCATGTCCTGAGGAGACGGAATATGCGGCTTTGGCAGCTGCAGGGGCGAAATAGCTGGTCGACCCATGCGGAGAAGTTTCCCTGGGGTTATCGCCGCCGACCTGGCTTGGGTGAGATAGCTGAGCGCATGTTTGGCAGCAAACAGTTTAGCGTTCTAAGCCAAGAAGATGGCCCCTTGGTTAGATGAGTCTGGTCTGTGTGGGAGCATGATTTCCAAGGGGAAAAAGGGGAGGGCAGTTTGAGCTCAGCGTACCTTTTTCGACTGGAAGAATGGCGCTTGCTCTCCGGCAGAAAACCCAAACCCTTCCCGTGGAAAGGATCCGTGGGGATGTACGGTGCAGACACAGCGCCAAAGAGGTTGAAAGTGTCCGTTCATGGGAATACTGGTAGGTCCTTGGTCTGTCCAGACTGGGTTGGCCAGACGGAGGGCCTGCACTTTTTCTATATACACCATGTCAGCAGGGGACTTTTTACTGTAGAAAGCAGCGAATATCGCTCTGTAGACGAGAAAACCTTACCAACCAACTTGCTAACGTAGCCCTGATCGCTCACGTTTGGTTCTTCGTTGAACGGAACAAACTCGGACAAGGCCTCGAGCTGAGACCGTGTCAACGCAACTGGTTGGCCTGTTCTCATCTCGAGAGCAATTTGCTGTTGTACCCATAGCAGAAGTCTATCCCAGGGCACGGGAATGGCGAGGTTTGCGTCCGCGGTTGTCATGGCAGGGCTCGATGCTTTCAGCTGGCATAGGACAGACAGGGTGGTGGGTGTTTTTTGCGCCGGTCTCGACTAAATTGTTTGTTTTCAGGTGTGACATCCAGAGCTAGTGAGAAGATTCACGCAAAGGAACGACGTATCAGCTATGACGGAAAATTGCGCAGTTTAGGAAACGCAGTGCGTTGAGTGTGTGTTGGATGAACATTGGGCAGAGAAGTGAGTTTGACAGAAGAGACCTCACATTAGCTTGGTGGGGTCTGGTACCCTTCCCACCACTACGTATCTGCGTATGCAATTAACACTGCAGGAAAGAAGAGAGATCGGGTCTTTTTATAACAGGTTGACTTGCAAAGTGCATATTTGACAAACGTTCCACGCGGTTTGCTTCCAAAGCCACCCAACCCAGCTACCTGGGTGATAAATAAATATATGTCCAAAAAAAAAATGTTAGTACCTTCGAGGCCTGCAACCCGGCCCTGTCACTGACTGCGTGGACCTCCATTTTCCTCCCTGCCAACCCGCCTTTCAAATTTATATGCCACCAACGTCTGATCTCAGCCAACTCCGCCACCGCCTTCTTGCCAAACGGGGCTCCTACAAAAGACGTCACACCTTATCTTTATCACGTCCCATCCGTCCCCCAAGGAGCCTTGAAGTGTTGGATGTGGACGTGGTACGGAGTAGAGAGACAAACGAGATTCGGTCTCTTTGTTCTGTTTCTGTTTGTGGGACAACGCAACAATGGTTAGCAACAAGGACGTTGTGCCTGACGACGCTACCGCCCAAAAGGCGTCACAAGCTCCTGTCCCTACGCCGGCCCAGCTTGAAACCGACGATTTTGGCCTGCCGATTCGACGTTATATAGCCCCGACTAACGATGCGACACTGCCGAAGCCTGACGTGGGGGTCGGCAATGTGACAACCACCTCGGAAACAGCAGACAAAGTGAATAATCAGACAAGGGATCCAGACTCGCCTACTCCTGAGCCGGAACTGAAGGACCAAAAGCCATCCACCTCATCCGCAGGCTCAAAGGATAGCAACCGCGCAGCGGAGAGTGGTAGTGAGAGCGACGATGCTCCCTTTGTGGATGCTCAGAGTGCGATGTTTGCAACTCCATCTATTGCGTCTACTTCCAAGCCTGCAGTTTTGACGTCCAGAGCACAAGCCCAAACTGCGGAGCCGGAGAAAGACGTCGAAGAGAAGCATCATATTTCGATGTCCACCCCTGCCGCGGGCCCGGACGAAACCGCTGCACGCGGTACGCAAACCCCAAAACCCGAGTCCGAAAAGGCCGACCCCGTTGCCAATGGCACAAAATCTTCTGTACCAGATGAGAAACAGGCTGAAGAAACTGCTACTAGATCGGAGCAGACTGACGAGAATCCCAAGATTTCACATACCCGAGATGTCAGTGCTGTTAGCATTGGTAGCGGCCCTCAACCCGGCCTCTCAGAGTTCTCACATCAGCAACTTTCCACGCAGCATCAAGATGAAAAGGAAGAGGACGATGGTGGTTGGCAAACTATGCCAGCGTTCGCTCCGTACGATATTTATGACGACGACAATCGGCTGATTGCGCGAGAACACAATGAGGAGGATGACGAGAAGTATGGTTATAGTGGCCTTGGAGGAGCTGGAAAGGGATACACTCGTGTTATAATGGATGAGGATGCCGAGTCTGCTACTAGCTTGGACGACAATACGCAATATCTGTTCCAGGAATCACGGAAAGGCACGGGTCTTGCGGATGACGAGGGCCGTGATGCTGTCGCTCAAATGCAAGCAACTAAGGACCTGTTGACCGAGGGCCAGAGAATAGCTTACGTTGGAGTGGTGCGCCTGGAGATTGCCAAAATGGTCAAGGAGGCGGAAGATTTGGAGGTTACCAAGAAGATAAAAAGGTTGGTCAATATGAGTGCCGAATCTGAGAAGATGTGGGGTCAGAAGATGATGATTCGCCTCTACTCTCACATGGATATCAGCGAGGCAGAACAGGTCATGATTGAGCAACTTGCTGAGCATGGTGTCATGCCCAAGGACCTGACACCAGCACTGCATGCCAACTCCAGAGTCCACAACCCCATGGCCGAGGACCGGACATCGGTCGACAGGAGCACCAGGTCAATTTCCAAGTCCCCTGGACCCCCGACTCCCAATGACGAGAAGCCAGCTGAGATGCCGCCACCGTACGAAAGCATCGACCATAGCGAAGTCCCAGACGCGCAGACACCCTCTCAGCTTCCCACAACCGAAAAAATTGATATTGACTTGCGTTGGACCGTTCTCTGCGATTTGTTTCTCATCTTGATTGCTGATTCAATATACGACGCCCGCTCCCGGGTGCTTCTGGAGCGTGTAGCCGACAGTCTGGAAATTTCCTGGATCGATATATGCAAATTTGAGAAGCGGGTCACCGATGCCTTGGAAATGCAACAAGCTGCTGAAAAGGAGAACTGGAACGAAGATCAACATATGGAATCTCGGAGGAAACAAGCACAAAAGAGAAGATACATGATGATGGGCCTCGCAACCGTTGGAGGTGGGTTGGTTATTGGATTGTCAGCTGGGTTGCTTGCACCTGTCATTGGAGCTGGCCTTGCTGCTGGTTTCACTACCATTGGCGTCACCGGCACGAGTAGTTTTCTGGCCGGAGCAGGTGGAGCTGCCATTATTACTTCATCCGCTGCTGCTTCAGGTAGTTTGATTGGCGGTCGAGCTGCCAATCGACGAACAGGTGCGGTAAAGACGTTCGAGTACCGGCCGTTGCACAACAACAAGCGAGTCAATCTCATCGTGACGGTATCTGGTTGGCTGACAGGAAAAGTGGACGACGTTCGCTTACCCTTCAGTACTGTGGATTCTGTCATGGGGGACATCTATTCCGTGTTGTGGGAGCCGGAAATGCTGCGAAGCATGGGTGACACGATTAATATTTTAGCTACAGAGGTATGTATAGAAATTGCTCATACTTATCAATGGACGGGACACACGGGTGCTAATATGTACTCCCCAGGCCCTCACCCAAGGTTTACAGCAGATTTTGGGTAGCACCATTCTTATGAGTTTGATGGCCGCCTTGCAGCTCCCTATTGTCTTGACAAAGTTGTCATATCTAATCGACAACCCGTGGGCTGTCTCTCTTGATAGAGCCACGGCCGCGGGCCTGATTCTGGCTGACTCACTCATGGACCGCAGTCTGGGGACGCGACCAATCACCCTTGTTGGATATTCTCTAGGCGCTAGGGTCATCTTCTCCTGCCTGCAGGAGCTCGCCAAGCGCGGCGCGTACGGGCTGGTACAAAATATCTACCTCTTTGGCTCGCCCATCGTTTTTAAGAAAGAAGAATTTATCCGTGCAAGGACTGTTGTATCAGGACGCTTTGTAAATGGCTATAATCGCAACGACTGGATTCTTGGATACCTTTTCCGACTAACCAACGGCGGCATTCGTAGAGTCGCCGGACTGGCTCCCGTCGAGGCGCCTTGGGTGGAGAACATAGATGTTACAGAAGAGGTACCGGGCCATATGCAATATCGAACAGCGATGCCTACCCTCTTGATAAAATGTGGTTGGATAGTAGAGAGCGAAGAGTTCACTGAAATAGAGGACCCTGATCCTGACAATCACGAGGAGCGACAACGAGAACTTATCAACGAAATCGAAGAAGCTCGGAAGGAGCTAGAAAGGGAAGGGAAGGCCAAAAAGGGTAGTCGTTTCAGTCTCTTTGGACGCCGCAAGAAGGCCGATCGCCAGGAGTGGGAAGTGTACGAAGAGTCAGCTGCCAAGGGGGGCAAGGAAGACAGTAATAGCGGGAAAGTAGAAGACAAGATTGGCAACAATCACGGTGTTCTCTTCGATGTTGATGCTATTCGCGCTGAGTTGGCAAAAGAATCCCATGGAGACACCGACGTGGGGACGGCTCTTCAAGTCAAGGAGATTGAGTCGACTCTACCGCCTATGAAACTTGACTTTTCTCCTACTACACCGTCGCTTTCATCCCCAATAGCAGATGGTCGAAGTTCTCTGCGGGAGACGAGGAGCGCTGACATTCTCACTGTTGGGACGATGGGCTTTGGAAGCCCTCATGGATCGCGTGACCTGTCCCCATATCACACGAATATGCACGAGGAAGAAGTTCAGATGACGTTTGATACGTCATTTGACGACTCCGCACACACACATACGCAGGCTGCCTCATCAACCAACGGCGAGAGCAGGCTCACCCGTCCGGAAATGAAGAGTTCACAAACATTACCGAATATGACCATTTCAGATCCATGGGCAGATCCAGAGCACGAAGACTTTGGGAAAGAAAAGGAGATTTCAATGACTTATGCATAATACAAGGACAACGGCCAGAGAAGGTTGGACCTACAACCTTGCGAGGAGTTTTTTCTTCTTCTTTTTTTCGTGTTTCCGGCGATCTATTGACCCAGCGACAACTGATTGCTTGATTGCCCTGGCGTTGGCATGGATAGATGTAACCGTCCACAGTCGGTTCGCGTTTATATTCGAATTATTTGCTTCTTTCATTGTGAGCTTTCTTGTTAATGGCTTCAGGCCGCATGAATGACATGGCATTTGCACACGAGAACATTAGATAATTATTCTGGCGGCGGACAAACTGATTGGATGGAAAGAATAGGGAGGGGAAGGAGTAGGACACCATATTAATCCTTGGAAGCATGAGTCGGATGAGAAGATAATGGGAATGACGGAGTTGATGATTGAAGAAGGCGTAGTTTCTAACATCTTTTCTTCTTTCACTGTATTATTTGGGGAGACAAATATATAAAGGTTGGCAACGTGATGTTTGAAATCCAAGGCCTTTACAGATGTGATGGTGGTCCATGCTTGCCTTGATGCAGACACTCGCGTAAGCGGTCTGAGGCTGAACAGGCGGGAGAGGCGGCAGGGAGACATGGGATATGTGACGCCGGATTACTTGGGACATTGTAGCAGTATGTACCAGGTATGTAATGGGGTTTTGGTGGCTCGAGATGATTTTTAAAGGAACACTGTCAGCTGGACAGGCGCAAGGGGATATGTGCACTGTATCGCCAACTGATTGACCACGTGATTGCAGTCTGCATCTGCATCCGGACGGGGATGAAAGAGCGGTTGACGAGCCAAGAGCCCCAGGATGGGAACCAGACCACCTCAAGCTTTCCCAAGCAGTGTGCGTTTTTTTCTACTCTACACGTCGCTTTGATGCAAAGGGCAATCTGTTTCCGCACAGGATTAAGTGTCTCTCATTCTTTTTTCTCGTGTTTATGAACCAGCCTCGCACAAAAGGCAAAGGCCACCAGTTGGACACAACACAACGCCGTGTTGTGTCTTTCTTGGGCTGGGTGGCTGGACTCATCCCTGTCAGCGGCAGTGGAGACATGCTGGTGTGTGGAGGGAGGCCATCACCAGTCTCATAGGCAGGTGAAGCACAGCCTGGTCATGCCATCCCACTCTGGCTGTCGTCTTTTTTTAGAGCACCGAAAGTGGATGGATGGAGACAACGTTGGGCGATGGATAATACGGAGTACTACGCAGAGTCGCCGAGTGGTTGATATTGTGCTTTGCAGGTGAGGAGTATCTCCTCGTCACATTGATGGTTCTTGAGGATCAAACCACTGATTTTGGGACACATGGACCCTAGATTTGCGAATATTGGCTGTACGTACTGTTGCGGAGTACTTTCGTGACTGGAATAGTATTTGCCTGCTGAGGCACTAGTGTCCTCCCTCAGCTTAACGGGATTTCTATCCTGGCGCCTGGATGGCGTTGGCCAGAATTGGAATTGCGCATCAATACGTCTGAGTCGTTTCTCGGTCTGGCCAACCAACTAGCCTCCTCCTCACTCGGACCCCAGGGAGGTATGCTCTCTGATCTGAATTTGGTATCCCTCTTTGTGGATGCCGAGGACTCACAACACAGCACAGCATGTGGCCCGTCATGCCTTACTACTCTGTGGAAGGACTCGTGTTTGTCTCTCGAAAACCAGCCAAATGGAACGCCTGACGAACCAGGGCGTTGATCGTCCCGTCTTACGCTTTTACAAGCCGCCCACCTCTTAGTTGGCGTTCTTTTCAGTCTGTTCTTTCTTTTCCTTCAATTCCTACACTTCACAAGGTGCAGTGTCCGCTTCCTCAACTGAGCATTGCTGTGGATGTTGGTTTTTCTTGGTGCTTTGCTCTGTTGTGGCAAATATCATTTGGACAAGTGTTGGAACAAGGCAAAAAGACGACGAGACACTTCATACATACATTATATGTATGTATGTACGATTAGCCCTCCAACAGCAACCTTCACCACTGGCCACATAAGCGCCCGAACCTGTCTGAGCCTTGGAACCGGCCTGTAACGCACGGAGAGCAAATCAACAATTTTGAGTTTCGAGTGACGAAAGCGACTTTCATTGGCCGGGTTTGAAGAGTCGGGAACATGGACATTCTTCCACACGGTGGAGGATCTCAAGACGGAGGCAGCAAAGAAAGTGACCTCAGGAGGGAGGCGGAGGCTTCCTTCAACTCTGCTACGCCGGTCGTAACCCAAACATTGGCAACCCCAAGCCCGTTGACGAGTTTAGAGCCTGGAGGAGCCCGCGGCCCTGACCAGGAGATTTTGTTCGGAGACTTCCTCTCGCAGCGGCCCATGTCGTTGCGCACTTTGTCCTCCCTTGATGGCAATCCCGAAAGCTTCTTCCTCTCATGGACCATGAACAACGACAGCGGGACCAGTGCCGACATCAACTGGATTGCATGGGTTGCTAGATCTACCATGATCTCAAGTGAAGCTGACCAAGTTATCGTCGACAACATCATAATCAACCCAAATATGTCTGCCGTGAACCGCGAGCGCAAATTCTTATCCGACGACTGTAAGTTTTGTATCTCTGCCAATCCAACCTTCAACCGATTTGTCTGTTATCACATCTACACAATCTGTCTGCCCGTCTCATGATCGTGAGACATATTTGTACAACGCTCCCTCCCTCCCTCTTCTTCCTGCCCCTGCCAACACGAAGAATGGGCAACTTGAAACACACGCTGACAGGAGGCCTACAGCTAATGGCCAGAAGGGAGTCACCATTCAGTATGGACGTTGGTTAGATTCATTAAAGAATGGCAAGGACACAGGCCAAACGCTGGAAGGCGTCGCATTGCCAGCGGGCAAACGCCTAGCTTCTGACACCGACTTCATGAGGCTCCAGATATCGTGGACTAAACGCAGCACCCGAGAGAGCAAGATATCAAACTCCGGTGTTTTTTTTATGAAACCCCCAGTTGGGCTAGGCCTTGAGCCTTTTTGGCGTGATAATGTCACCGGCTATGAGGAGAAGGCGGGAACAAACGGAGGCGTGGCTACGAGCATGACGCATATCAGTAGCTCACCCACTTCCACCGATCCTCCAGACACAAACGGCGGACCAACATCGGCCGGGAATCCAGATAGCAGGGGGCTCTCGACCGGAGCTATTGCGGGCATAGTCATCGCTAGTGCCATAGCCGTAGCTCTCGTTGCCGGCCTCGCATGGTTCTTCCTCCGCCGACGCCGTAACCGTAACGAGCCTCAATTTGATCCCCAGTACAAGAACGCTCCGTTCATGGAGCACAAGGCTGCCTCTGCAACACAAGTCGTGGACTCTCACCGGTCTGGGCTTTCCGGAGACAGCGGACGCCAGGATTATATCACGCACAACAACAACACCAGCCCGGTCGGCATTGCGTATGGTGGGCAAGACCAGTCATCGCATGACCACACCGGCAGTTTCACCAACCTTCACGATACTGGTATATCCAACGGCCCTGAAAACTATCCAGGCCACAATCCCGACCCTACCGCAACCGCTGCCGCCCGCGGCATGCAAGAACACCAGCACGGCGCGGATACAGACTCGGGCAGAGAGGACCCGGCACATCCTCACATCACGCTGCCCATACCCTCCCGAATTCGTCATCTTGTGGAACCACATCACACAAACGACGATCTCCGCCGCCTCCTTGCCGAAGAAGATCATCTTGATGAAGAGATTGCGCGTGGGTCCTAGAAATACCTTTGGCAATATCTATAAAATGCTCGAGTTCGACTTGATTCGGTGCTGTTTTTATTTTTTTTTATTGCAAATTACAATGAAAGCCATATATAGCGGAGAAATCCCACTTTCCACTACACGGAGGTCACGGGATGAGATGTTCTCGTTGCCTTCAGTAGGCACCGTCTCATTTTTGTAAGTCATGCAAGGTGGATGCGCCGGGAGTTGAGGTTGGGTGTGCGATATGAAATGAAACGAAACGAAACGGAATAAAAATCTGTTGAGGAATTTTCGGCCTGAGCGCAGTCATCGCAATTGATGCCATTCGTTAAAGATATGTATGTAGTGTAACTTACCGGTGGGCTTTACCTTTACAAGTGCTGTCTGTGGATGTGATGCGTTGGATTGAACGGGAAACGTGTGCGGAAGTGGCGTTTTGAGCCCTTTGCCATGCTACTATACGGTCCAGAGGAATTGAGCAGGAATACTCGGGGTCTGACTGGAGACTTTGGCTTTGCAATGTGAGCGGATCCAAGGAACCCACGATGCTGTTGTATATTGTAGCAGTAGGTGCGGTGGCACAGGAAGAGATGTGAAAGATGCATCATGGGATTCCACCCTGTTGATGCGGTTCCTACTCGGGCCTTTCTTCATCGTTGTATTGACATTACCCGTGTAACCGTGATGCGTAGCATGAACAAGTCCTGTATTCCAGCCACTACAGAGAACACCACGCACCAAGAAGCGGCGCTGCAATTTCATCCATTCCTATAATACACCTCATCCAGCCAGTTGAACATGCCGGCTCCCAAACCAGTCACGTATAGGCAATGCGACAAGTCCCCTTGCGCCTCCTCCCCCCGTTCCAAGTCCGCCTCACATCGAATTTACCACGTACACTCTGTACTCGCCCCTTCCTACGCACCTCAGTTTCGCGAAAACCACCGTCCGGCCAGGTTTGTCGCAATGCTGCCGGCCAAATTCGTGGTGCCCAATGCACTGCCCGCCAAGTTGGAAGCCTGGCTGAACTTGTCGCATCTCGAAAAGGCAAGAGTGTTCATAATTGTCAAAACAAGGGCGATGACTGTAATGCCGTGTCAGCCATGATACTATTTTTCTCTGTCTCCCTCCATGCGTCGACCACGGAGGTAGTTGAAAAAAAAAAAAGCCAAGCTACAGAGAGAAAGAAGCGGGCGAAGGATAAAAGGACAGCACTTACTAACAAGAGGCAGCCACAAGAACTGCAACCTAACAATGGCCAAGACGGCCAGCAGAATCCACAGCAGAGGCTGCACGTACAGCGACAGCCAGAAGAACCTGCTGTCGGTGGCGTTGACAACCTTTGTGCCGGGCTCGCTCGACTCAAAGACCCATTTGGACTCGCCGGTCTGGGGGTCGACTTCGTTCCACCACCGGAGGCCGACGAGGCGCCGGCCGGCGATGTTCTTGAGGTAGTAGAAGTCTGCGGCGAGGAGGAGGATGGTGATGATGAAGATCATGATCCTGAGAAATGGCAGCGTTAGCCTCCACGTCCTGTCGCAGACAAGCGGTTGGCCGAGCCCGCGGGGGAAAGGGGGTGCGTTGGATTTCAGACGTACATGCTTGCCGTGACCCAGAGACCAAAGAAATACACCAGCACGCTCGCTGCCAATTCGTAAGCCTACATGGTGATCTGTCATGGGGCGAAGGGAGGACCCGACGTACATATTCGAAAGGCCAAGAAGGTCAGTAGTGTTATGGGGTGCGAACTCAACCGCCAGCTGAGTGTTCCTGGTAACAGCTGCTGCTGCTGCTGCCGCTCCACATCCATGGTGCCGGTATTACAATCTGTAGCGGGGATGATGGTAGGTGTAAGGGGGGGGATGTTGCGCTTTGGATGCGCAAGAGGTGTTGGCTTCTCACGGGAGCGAGAGTAGGTGGGTGCGGACGATGCGAGCAGATAGCTTCGGTGGGGGTTGCGATGTGGCGATGGCAGAGGAGGCCGGGTATGCGGCGCGTACGGCTTGATGGTGGAGGGCAGTCGTGTTGGTTACGACCGCATGCCTGGAGCTTGCGTACGAATTCGTGGTGTTGACAGGCGACATGTGGCATTTGCCTTGGGCCAGCCAGCCAGGCACAAGTCAGAGGATCCCAATGTACGGACCCACGCCAGCTTTGGACGAGCGGTGCCAGGGGCTGCAAGCACTCTGGGCTGTCGACCCCAGGAGATGAGTTGATCCGGCCCGCAGACCCAAAAAGGTACAAGCTTCATGTACCCCGTTACCTTGTTCAATTGATCGACAGGCAAAGCATCTTGATGATTCCAGGTTCTGGATGGCGGTAATAACGCCGTCTTCTCACATACACCTCCAGCTACGGAGTATGCTGGCTTCCTCCCCAGATATGTGGAACCGGGCCCCAGGAATAACTTACGCTATATTGAAATGCAAGACTGAGCTTTAGTTTTCTTGCTGTTGTTTGCTGTTGTTTCAACACCTGCTCACTTACATCAAGTAACCGCCGGCTATTCAGACTCAAACGTCTCATCATCATGGCCGCCGCGGCAGCGAGGTCAACGACCATCCTCCGCCGGTCTCTTCTCTACGGTCAGCCCGCCTACCATCTACCAGACCCCGTCGTCGCTGCCGTCTTAAAACTAATTTCTCATAGTCCCCGCCTCATCGCAAAAGATGCTCACCAAGTCCCTGGGCCTCGCCTCGGACAACGTGACCTACGACCTAGAGGACTCGGTCACACCGTCTCTCAAACCACAGGCCCGTCAACAGCTCAAAACGCACATTTCGTCCCTGAAATCCCGCCCTTGGTCCATTTCCGAGCTCGCAGTCCGCGTCAACGCCGTCTCCACCGCCTCTGCCCTCGACGACCTGACGGCTCTCTCCGCAGCGCCGCTCGTCGATGCCATTGTCGTGCCCAAAGTTGAGTCGGCCGCCGACCTGACGTTTGTCTCCGACGTCCTGCGCCACGTCGCCCCGGAGAGGCACGCCGCCGACTCGAGCAACCCCATCAAGATTATTGCCCTGATCGAGTCGGCCCGCGCCGTCATGGACCTCGTCAGCATCTGCCGTGCCTCCCCCTATCTGAGCGGCCTGATATTCGCAGCCGAGGATTTCGCCCTCGACCTGTCCATCACGAGGACACCGTCTCTGACCGAGTTTCTGTATGCGCGCTCCGCAATTGTCACTGCCGCCAGGGCCGCCGCCCTGCCCAGCGCCATCGATCTGGTGTGCACGTCGTACCGCGGCGAGGAGGGCATCAGGAGACTTGCCGAGGAATGCGCGGGGGGCAAGTCGATGGGGTTCAACGGCAAGCAGTGCATACACCCTGACCAAGTGGGAACGGTGCAGAAGCTGTTTGCGCCGAGCCAGGATGAGGTCGACTGGGCGATGCGCGTGGTCATTGCGGACGAGAAAGCCGCAGCCGGGGGGAGGGGAGCCTGGACGTTGGATGGCAAGATGATTGATGCTCCGGTTGTTGGAAAGGCTCGAGCCGTCGTTGCCAAAGCCGAGCGGTGCGGATTCGACGTTCCTGGTCTGAGGAGCAAGTGGAATAACCAGGAACCCGAATAAATGAAACAAACGCACCCAAGTACAGCAAACGAAATTCAACACAACAAAGTTTTCATCCTTTTTTTTTTTCCCCACATGGCCCAGCGTATGCTAAATCATGGGCGACTCTTGGAAGAGAGGGACATCAGACCAAGCACACACATTGACCCCGGGTCCGTACCTGGGGCGCGGAAAGCTCGTGTGTGAAGTTGAGGTTGAGGTTGAACTCAACTACCCAAGTCGTAGGCTCGGCATATACCGGGTAACGACCCCGTAATAGGCTCAGCATGACCCCATCGCAACACTCAGAACCCGATTGAAAATCGTTTCGTGCCCTCTTGTATTGCACCAGTTGCGTCAGATGCCCCAATGAGAAAAGGCGGCCTGGTAACTCATCCATCAACGCCACGTCGGAGTCCAGAGCCCCAGTGAATCGTCTTAGTCGAACGATAATCAGAAAAGCAGAACCCTCTATTCGCATCCCATGATACCATTAGATTGCGATACGTAGAAGCCCAGTACCATATTGACAGTGTAGCTTCCCATCCCGACAAAAGATAAAAATCGTACAAATGGATATCGGTAGCCGACTAGGTGAGCTGAAATTGTTGAGTCACTGTAGCTTCAGGGCCATTGGCACGTATTAAGTTGCTTGAACATGATAATCCGACATTGTGCTCCAATGATGTTCAACTACCGTATTACGAGTGCCAAGACTCTTGAATTCAACACGAAATGGAAGCTCGAAATGAAAACTTGTTTTAAAAAACCGCTGTTTTATTTCATTTGCTATACTCTAAGGGTACCTTACTGGGGGGACCTGGTAGTAGAGAGTTGATGGAAAACATGCGGAAACCAGAACAGTCCTGTGTCCGCCTATGGAAAGAGATAAAGCCCGTCTAAATGAACACTATTATAGTCCGGCATCATGACTATACTTTGTATCATGGTCCTCTGATGGCCGCAACACTCTGGGAAGGCTGTGACCTTGTCACTTATTCAAAAATAGAAGCGGCATCGGAAACAGCCGCTATTGAAATCGCCCAGCAGGGCTGTACACTATAGCACCTGTGTTACGTCAAACCGCCAAAGTAATCCATTCAGTGGCTGAGGTGATGGTTTCACGTCTTGCCGGGGGTTAGGATGCACCTGTCAAGCTGCCCGCGGTTCGATAGATGTAGAAACGAGTTATGGATACCAAACTATCTGGCTATTTTCAGGGCCCCAGAGCTAGGACTGAAATATATGTCTCAGGTTGCGGCTGACCGGGTCGAGTCATCCTTTGCAACGGAACATCGAAATAATATTCTCCAGGATGGTATACTCGTAGAAAAGGCATTTCATAATATGAGAATGCGGAGTAATCTGCGCAAAGTGTGCATTAAAACAGCTTAAATGTTGAGCCGTACGGTAGCTCATGTGTTGTACCAAGCCCCGGGGCGTCGATTGTCTGCCTTGACGGACCAAATTTGGCTTGTTGCATGTCACTCCCTCGCGTCTGAATATCAAAGTCCCTCCAACTCTCAACGTCTGGGTATTTGTTCACTTCTCTATCATGTACACCGTGCAGGATGCGTAAATCTTCGGTATTTCGAACAGTGTGCAAATCCTGGTCAAAAAATCGGGCGCGCTTATCGTGAAGATGATCGTTGGGGTCCCGCGAGCAGATTGATTCTTCATTTTGCAAAAGCCCCATTTCGTTTGGCAAGCGTCGTCTTGATAGATCGAATGTATCAAACGCTCTATCCCGGGCCCATTCGCTATCAGAAGCATGAGGCAACATCCCCTGATCTATTACGGTCTCAGAGCTCCCAAACCTATGCAACTCGGGCGTTTGCCCCGTTAGGAGCTGCGCCTCTGTTCTGGAGCCAGGGTTACGACAGGTCTGCCCGCGTGTTGGCCCAATACATGGGAAAACACTCTCCGCCCAGCTCGTTGGGCTGACGGGGATGGTCTGAAATGGCGGTGCAGAGGCTTTTGTAACCTCGTGTCCGCTGCCCCATTGGCTGTCTTGGTATGCAAGGTGTCGCGAAGAGCGCTAATCGAGGTCGACACTGCCCCGGGTTACTGGAGACTGGTATAATATTGGGGACCGTACTCCCGAATTCTGATGTACCGTAACGTCACCGGTTGGATCCCGTGGTGGGCGTTGGAATTGACAGCTCACTGGTTCTTCCGCTATGAGGCCGTCGCAAGGAGGCATACCATGATCATATTGTGCCGGATCGTCCTTGTAAGGCCGGCTAAGAATATTGCGGCCAACTTCCGAAGAGCGCCATTGCGGGATATATACATCGTCGAAAATACCAGGCCGCAGCATCCATTTACTATCCTGGTCTGTGACATGTTGCAGAGAGATCTGCCGCAACTCAAGTTGTTCTGGTGCATTCATTGATGGCGAGTGATAGAACTTGTGTTGCCGATGATTGGTGGCTCGTATAACCGGCCTAGGCTGATTCTTCTGCCACAGGAAGTCTGTATCCTGAGTGATTTGATTGTCTAACGTCAGAGGCACTGTTCCGATTAAGCTGGTTGCAGATTCCATATGAACCTCCTTTTTTCCCCTGGGAATTTGACCTAGGTTAGACATCCCAGGGAACTGCTCTGGTGCACTAGAGAAATCTTTGGGATTCACTTTCGAGCTATCATGAGCATTTTGCTGATTCGCTCTCTCCATCTGTGATAATGCATCCGACTCCGGAAGTATATTAGATCTTCTACTAGTGCTATCGATATCTGCGGCGCTAAATGTACTCAATTTTGTCTTTGAGAGACTCAAGTCAAAGTTGTGAAATGAGAGGTCCGCTACTAGAAGAAATCAAAATAAGTCGGCTCTATGTTCCTGGAAAGAAAAAGAAAAAAAAGAACAACATGTTAACCAGGGACTTTGACATACAAGTAGTGTTACTCAAAGGTCTCTCTTCGGACAGCAAGTCCTCTGCGACATGAGGTCTCATCTTTCTACGGTTAGAAGCTAAAGCAGAATTCTCCGAAGCCAACTTACGGTCACGTGTTCTTTTTTTACCGCATCAGATGCGAAGTTCTTCATTAATTCCTTTCCAGAACGTAATCTGCGTTTCCGACGCATTCTGTGATTATTTTGGAGACGGGCTGGCCTATCCGTGCCATCTTGGTCCTCTGTTATCGGGGGTTTTGTGTCG